GTTTTAAAAGTTACTCTTAGAGCTCAATATAGATTATCCTTTCTCTTGGAGATAAAAGGAAAGAGATTGGGTAGATAGAAAAAGAAAAAAGCAGTCTGTTAAGTTTGAAAAATGATGGCCTAGGTTAAGTATATACCCACAGAAGAATGCTTTTATTTCCGTGCATGTGCCCTCCTGAGCTCTCCCTTTAACTGTAACTGAGGATGGGCCCCAGGGGATGTTTGTAAAGGCTCTTTTGAGGTCTTTGGAAAGCGATGCTATATAAAGCCAAAGAATTATTACCCAGTTCTATGTATATAACAGAGAGAGAGAGAGAGAGCTTGCATACTTCCAGATGTATGCATCTCCCCCTCATTCTCATCCAGTCCTCCTTCCTATTTAATTTGGAAAAGGAAGTTGAGATCAGTTTACCTAAAGATAATTTGCCCCCCCTCCCAGGGCCTTTAATGACCAAAGGTGGGAAGGCTCAACTTAATATAGTACTTAATATAGCAGCCTCTGACGCCATGGTCATTGCGTGAATGGGTGAAGGTTATCTGTTGCAAGTGCCTGTGTTGTGTTTGGGTCCCTGGGGGCGGAGGTTGGTCCCTGGTCTGCCGACCCATTTGAAATCAGGGATTCACCGTTGATTCACATGGTGGGTGCTGAGGAGGAGGGGAATGGTGTGGCAGGCTTGTCCAGTTTTAGGGCATGGTAATGCTTTCTGCCCCCTCCCTTCCATGTGTATCTATTCCCAGACACCGACTGGAAACAAGCTCCGTTTGAGTCTGACTCCCTGTCACTGGGACAGGAAATTACAGCTGTGAACCCGGTGGTTAGCATTCTCTGGTGCGGCCTTGGACTTACTATTAAGCGCAGCTGACATTCTGCCCAGCCCATCTCATGCTCAGTTCCTGCCGACGAGGGGCACATTTTCCCAGTGGGTGCCAGTCATTCACTCGTTTGTTAGTTCACTTGTTCACCCAGCCTTGACTCCTCTCCTGTGCACTCTGTCTGCTCAAGGAACTCATAGGTGTGGGGGTGGGGCTTCGGTTGCCAGGCCTGCAGAGGAACCGGTGTATATATGGTGGGTGGCAGCTTGGGCAAAGTGGGGTCCAGTGAGCTCTCCTGGGCTTGTTCTGCTGTGAGGACATGGGTCTCACTCACGAGGGCAGAGAGTGTCGACGGGCTCCCAGGTGCCTCGGGGGGAGTCTGGTGGAAGCCAGGATGGCTAGTTGCCTGCTAGTCCTGTGGTCACATGGTCTCAAGTGTCAACCTCAGAGAGCTGTTTTGGCTATATTTGTGCCAAAATGCTTCTCAGAGTCTGGGTGGCTCGGTGCTGTTGCCCCAGGGTCAGGCTCATGTTTGACATTTAACCACCAGGCACTTTCTCTGCCAGCTGGGCTCCCCTGAGAGGTTTCACCAACTCCTGTCTTTGGTGGGCTTCTGCCCTGTGCCTGCACCTCATTTGTCGCTGCCTCTGCATCTGGTGATAGAAGAGCCCTGGCACTGTCCTCGGCCTGCTTTTCAGCAGGTGGATTTTGGTGGAGTGATGTGGACTGTGCTCTTGGGCGAGATACACCTGCCCCCACCCTCCTCCATCTCTAGACTTGGCCCATCCCAAACTTCTAGAAGACTCTATATCAGTGGTTCTCAACCTTCCTAATGCCGCGACCCTTTAATACAGTTCCTCATGTTGTGGTGACCCCCAATTTCATGGTTACAAATTGAACAAAATTAAAGCATAGTGATTCATCACAAAAACAATATGTACTTATATATGTGTTTTCTGATGGTCTCAGGCGACCCCTGTGAAAGGGTTGTTTGACCCCCAAAGGGGTCGCGACCCACACGTTGAGAACCGCTGCTCTATATGGTTGGTTTAGTTTGACTCATCTAACCCCTCTGGGTCCCACTCGCTGCAGCAGGGGGAAGGTGGGAATTAGAGGTTGCTGGGGACAGAGGAGGGGCATGAATAAGACAGGACAGGCCTGCTGGCTCCCATATCTGCCAGAGCCAGTGGGCCAAGGGGTCACAGAAGTGATCCCGACCTGAAACTTGAAGGAGGCTCCAAGTAGGGGAGGCAGCCAGGCCTCCTAGGTGCTGGGAACAGCCTGTGCAAAGGCACAAGAGAGGGGAGCAGGGTTGATGGGGTGGGAGACTAGCGGGAGGAGGGGAGGAGACAGCGGGGCGGAGCCAGTGGAGGGCTGTGGTGCACATGGGCTGGAGCTCTGGTGGTCCGCAGGGTGAGCCCTGGGTGTAGGTGCAATGCCTCTGGAGGAGGGACATGCAGGCAGGAAGGCTGAGCAGGGCAGCCAGAGGGACCAGAGGCAGGGCTGAGGGGTCTCGGGAGAGGTGTGGAGGGCTCCACAGTGCCTGAGGCAGCAGCTGCTCAACTGCCATTTCCCTGTCTATTAAAGCCTGGTCTACAGTCTCCTGTTGGCAGCTAGCCAGTGGTCCTGCCCAGTGGCCTTGCCCAGTGGCCGAATGTCTGGCAGGCCCAGGGCCTCACCACAGAGAGCCACACCCCGAACTGGAGAGGGACAGCAGTGTGTGTGGGGCTCAGGGGGATAAGAGCTTCTGGATGTTCCCCTAAGACAGGCTGGTAAACCCTTCCTGTAAAGGGCCAGATGGGAAATATTTTAGGCAGTGCAGGCCCCTCACTCTTCGTTACCACAGCTTAGCTTTGCATTGTGGCACGAGAGCAGCCACAGACAACTGAAAACGTGGCTGTCTTCGGGGAAACTGCTGCCGACCCCTCCCTGTCCCACGTGGTCGGCAATATTAGCACCATATTTTCAGCTGAGGGAACCGAGAAGCAAAGAGATGGCCATTTGCCCAGGTCGTCGAGGTGAGACGTGGGAGGTCTGGGATTTGATTAGAAAACCTGTTTGCTACCCTGATGTTATTTTTGTTAGGTTGGCCCTTGATGTGCAGAAGTTATTTCCTTAATGGACTTGTTCTTTGATTCGTGGTAAGAAAGGCCTCTGCTGCCCCAAGATGGCATCAGTGTTTGTCCACATATTCCTAGAGCTTTAATTGCTGCTTTTCACATATTTAAATTATTCTGTCTGAATTATTTTGATACATAGCAGAAGCAGAGATTTAAGTCTTGTTTCTTGCTCCCAAAATGGTTTCTTGCCCTGGCAACATTTATGGAGGAATCCATCTTTCCCACAGGGATTTGAAATGCTGCTCTTTATCCCTTATCGACTGCTTACAGTTAAAGTTAACATTGTCCTGTGGCCTTGACCAGATTGGCTGTTCGGTTCACTGAGGCCAGTCAGGAATGGAATTTGAGATGGGTGGTCCTTTGCACTTCAGCCTGGGAGGCCGCCATGCAGCAGCCCTGCTCTGCTGTCACTTGCAGTGTGTGCTGTGGCAGGTAATGAAGAGGAAGGAAATCACAGTGATAGACTAAACAGATAATGGGATGTGCGGTGCTGGGACGAGAAAAAATTACAAGTTAGGCAGGGCCTCTGCCAGTGAGTGTCGCCGGCTTGGAGAAATATCATATTTATGTAATATAAGGAGATCAACCCAAACGTCACCTCCTGGCTCTACAGCAAAGTGAATGCGTATAAAGTTAAAGTCTGTTGAAACTGTGGGGTTTTTTTGGGTGGGGGAATACCAGCTCTTGAACCATTTCCTTTCCCACCATTACCACCAGTGTCCAAAGGCCATGTGGGGAAGGCAGAAGGGGCAGTCGTCTGACAGCCTTATTCCTGTGATGTCCCCCCTCCCTCTAAGATTCCTAGTATCAGAATATTGTTTTATTTGTGTCCTCAGTCATGTTGATGTTGAAGCAAATACAGGGCCGTGTCCTGGAGGCTGGAAATGCACAGTGTGGAAGGGAAGGGTTCTACCAGCATGATGGTGTGGATTGGGTCAGTGTTGGTCATTGCTATTTCTGTGGCTTCTGTGGTTCAGTGCCATGCATTTCTTAGGTGTATATAAAGCATTAAATGAGATAGTGCCAGTAGGGGCTTTGAACAGAGCTATACTAGTACTTGTATAAGGGTTCAGATTTTAGCTAAAAGGTAGTAACCAACAATCCATACCTTTTTTCTAAAGAGGATTTGAAGCAGAATATTAAAACAGATCAGAAAGAAATTGAGGCCAGTGGTAGGCAAATTGACACAAGTGGACATACAGGCTGGAGAAGATCAGAGCGGGATTAGGGCACATCCTGGTTGGCACATGGCTAAGTACACTCACTAGATGCATAATTTTCTCTGTGAGCTTCCTAGTAGCCAATCCCAGGAGGGAAACAGTTTATAGGGCTTCTTGGGGAGAACCCCAAATAACTCCAGGAGAAATGAGAAGCTCCTGGACTTGAGATCCGAGTGACACAGTGAATGATGTCTTGAATGTGTGGATGGGCAGTGACAACAGTTGTTTTATGTAGGTAGGAAACTTGGGTGGTTATTTAATATAAAGACTTGGTTTCCTATGGGTGAATACTTCCTATGTAGAAGCTATCCAGGAGAGGAGCTCCTGTAAGTGATTATGGACTGCGTATTGGGACTCCTCCCCGCCCCCCCCCCCCCCCCCCCCCCCCCCCCAAGATCGCCTGTATGCTGACTATAGAAAACCAGGTATCTTAGTAAACTTGAGGATTTCCATGTCAGTGTGGACCCAAGTGTCACTCGGTCTGCTGTCTGATCGCTGTTGATGGGCAGCTGTAACTGGGAATATGTCACTGTTCAGAACAGATGTGGCCCAGCAGCAGGGACCTTGAAGCACTTAGAAAGCACAAGCCTGCTTTTTCCAGGCGGCTGAGGGTTCACCAAAGAGACAACTCCATACATATTCCATCCTGTCCTTCTGTTTTGTGTGGCTAATGAGAGTGAGCAGCTGAACCCATTGGATAACTTGAGTTGTATAGGAATTATTTTTGAAAGGGAAAGGGAACTTGTGTAGACAAGTCGCTATAAATAGCCCATAACCCAGATTGTTGGTCGGTGAGAGGACAGAATAGGAGAGATCCCCGGACTGATGTGGATGTGCTTTCTTCCTAGGTGAACTGCGACAAGCCATCGTGGCCATGATGAACCGGAAGGATGAGCTGGAGGAAGAGAACAGGTATCCTGACCTCTAGGCTCGAGGCAGGGCCTCGTCCTTTGACATTCTACCTCCAGGACAGAAAATATCACAGATGAAAAAATTCTGCTTTATTGGGAAAATTGTGACCAATGATTTTGTATTTCTTTTTTGGTCTGTGAATTACCACTTTAAAAAAAAGTATGTATGTGTGTGTATGTGTGTGTGTGTATGTGTATATATATATATCTCTCCTATATAATAAAACCCTAATATGCAAATTGACTGAACAGTGGCACAATCGGTTGCTATGACATGCACTGACCACCAGGGGGCAGACACTCAAAGCAGGAGCTGCCCTCTGGTGATCAGTGAGCTCCCACAGGGGGAGCACAGCTCAGCCAGAAGCCAGGCTCATGGCTGGCTAGCACAGTGGCAGTGGCGGGAGCGCCCATCTCCACTGAAGGTGGGCAGA